CCACTATCAATTTTTTTTTATAGTAATTTTGTTCTCTAATTCATCAACAATATTATAAGTGAAACATTGTAAAGTAAGGCAACGTATAGTGAGGTATATCTGTACAGTCTACTTTGTATATATTATAAAATCAATCAGTGTTGGCACATGTACAATACCTCTCATTTATTTTGTCATGATTAAAAAGAAAATATTTACAAATTTTATCCTATAATATTACTTTTACTCATTGTTTCTTTAATTCTTACATTATTTCAAATTCTTCAAATAACATTCTCTTTTGCACTTCATTTTCATGTTCATTCAATATACATTCCTATACATATTCAATTGTCCAATCAATTATTTCAGGAAATGTGGTTTAATGTTTCAACAACAGTGACGTTGGCCACAGTACGTCGTCTGTTACGGCAGGACAATCCTCTTAGGTGTATAGGTCGCTTGTGTCATATGTCTGGAGCTACCATGAACGAGTATCAAGAACTTCTCGCTCAAGTACGCCAACGTAATTTAGACATTAAACTAATCTGGGTTACTGATGAACGTATAAGGTAGATTATACTGTACCTTAGAAGGAGTTTTGAACAAAGGAAGCCGGATTGTCTTACACTGTATCGAGCTAGATTTGGGTAATTAACAATGAATAATGTATGACCATATCAACTGTAGCTACTTTTGAAGTATAATTTTAATGCAAGGAAAATAAGTTAATGTTTAATGAGACTGGCCAAAAATGGCCACAAGCCATGTTTGTGTTGGCTGATTAAAAGTTCTCTCCGTAAGTCAGTCTATCAAGATTGGTATACTCTGCGTAGAGTCGACAAATACAGCTAAAATAATGATATATTGAATTCTGTATATAAAACAATTTGACTTTTCATTGCATAATCACTTTTGAACAGGGTGTCTTTCATTTTTGGCAGTGATTCCCAAACTGCATTCCATGGAACTCCAGGGTTCTGCAAGAGGTTCCGCCAAATGACAAGTGATATATACCCGCTTAGAATTTTTGCAGTCTTTTAAGATGCACACCCTAGAATAGGGTTGCGAGTGGTGGACTCCAAATGGTCAAATTTTTTTTTTTTAGTATAGAGTGTAAATTTGTTTTAATTAGATTTTGTGATATGTCATTGAAAATGACATATGTAATGACAATACAGTATACATTTATGTATATATGAATTGCAAAATGAGATTTGAATATTTTTGATAAAACAAATTTTTTTCTGTCATCCAGATTCAATAATGATGTCTGGCTTAAGAAACTGGCCTGTCTTCCAGATATATTTTCAATATATGAGGTGAGCTCATTACAAGGCCCAAATATCAACATTTTGAATGATCAAGATAAAATTTAATCATTCCACCTTAAGATGATTTTTGGATTGAATGCTTACACAAAAACTTCAATGAATGTTTTTCAAATCTTAATGACTTCTTGAACGAGAATGTCAAGTAATTCAGCACCAGCAACATTATTTTCAACATTTAAGAAATATTTTCAGAGTGTATTTTTCCAAGCAGCCAGACCCTCTGACTGTGCAATCATCCATTCATTGATTCAGACACTGTACATTAGCAAAATCTGTGACATTTAAACTGATCCCACCCTTTAAATAACAATTGATAAGGACTCTTATGTTACCGTTTTGGATGAAGCCCTTTACGTTAATATTCCAATGCATACAGTACAGTATTATGAAACGAGTTATGAAACATATCATGCCTTTTACAACAACCTATACGTGTGAGGTCAGATTCTCAAGCTGCATCAATACCAAAACCAAATATAGAAATAAATTGGATGCATCACCACAGCTATGTGCCTGCAACTAATGAGCATCACTCCAGATTTTTTAGTTACTGTTGTATAGCTTCTGTATGTAATATTTTATATATTATATATAACAGGTACAAGGTTCTGCAAAATAAAAATAAGTGTGAAAGGGTTCCAGTTGTTGGCAAAGTTGGGAATCACTGATTCTTGGGTAAGTTAGGTGATTCTCACAATAGTCTTATCCTTTCTCAATTTTTTTTTGTTGACTCAAGTATTGTATGTGTTTATGAAAAGTATTAGTGTTAATATATCATTTATACTAACTAGAAATGTTCCTGTGAAAATAATAGATAAAAAGTATACACAGTATTCTTCACGTAACATAAAAGAACTGGGAAACAAAAAACGTTATGTAAAGTGACCTACGTTAAGTGAAACATGTTTTCCCATACACCCATGTTTTAAATTCAGATACCTGTACATTCAAGGCTGAAAATTTTTGGCCCTAAAATTCAATCATAAATACAATAATGAATATATGTATACTGTACTTAGAATAACATAAACATAATAGTAACAGTTACCAGTGATTAATGAAGAGGCAACATATTGAGGTTAAGTTGGGAACTACTGTAGTAAATCAAATGCCATGGGTAAGTCTGCCTGGTTATGGGCTCGCCGTGGAACCTCATGATGTATTTATACAACTGAGAGAAGAATGTTGCGAATCTTTAAAAAAAAAAAAATTTTCCAAACTAATATACTGTATATACAGGGGGCAAATTCGTGTGGGTTAGATTCTCAAAATGTCCGCGAATCGCCAAGTCCGCGAATAATATTTGCAGACTGGGAGGGGAGGTGGTACATTTTTACTTGTGTACAAAGAAATGTATATTCCCTTTAAGTGTTTGCTCTTAGGACAATTATTGCTTTTACCTGTATTGTATATAGTACATTGTATGTGTAAACACACACTCACACAAAACATCCAAATAAATTATAATGGGAAATATGCTCACAAATAATCAGAAACAAATTTATTAAAAATGTGACAGTCTACCCTTAAGTCCGTGCTTTATTAATAAAGTAATAAAGCATGGATTTGAGAGTAGACTCAAAATTTTTAATAAATTTGTTTCTGATTATTTGTGAGAGGATTTTCCAATTATTATTTATTTGTATGTTTTGTGTGTGTGTGTGTGTCTACACACACATATTTACAAAACAGGTAAAGGAAATTCCTCTCTCTAGAAGGAATGGCTCCCTGTCCCAGCTGCAAAAATGCCAGCAACTTTAAAACTACCCACAGACATTCTTGGATACATCCAGGGTGTCACCTGAGAATAATAGAGGACCGCGAAATAAAAATCCGCAAACTTGGGGTGGTGGGGGGGGGGGGCTCCCTGTATATTGAGGACATGTTTTTTGGGAGACATCAATGTACAATTGTTAATAATAAGAAACGTATTCATGGGATGGGATGTAATGTAGACAACTTCAGTTTTATTATGAAAGTCCTTTGGTTTGTGGTGGAGGTTGGAGTTGTAAGTTTTAAAAGTAATATTTTCCAATTCTAAAATAACTGTCCTCTAGATCAGCGCTTCTCAAACTATCTGATGTGGCGGACCGGCATGGTTTTTTTTTTCAATGTGCCACGGACCGGCGAGCGAAGCGAGCCAATCCCGGGGCCTATAGGCCCCCCCCCCAGGAAAATCTTTTGAGATATGTCCCACAATAATTTTTTGTTTTTCAAATTTACACAGGAATAGTGTGAACCGGCCTTTAAGATTATTAGTACTTACATTTTCAGATCAGTGGGTTGGGATGGGGTCCCAAATGACAAACACGCAGATACCCGTATGATGCTCTCTGTTCCACTTCTTGATGGTAACTAACCACTGACCTGTGACCTGACATCACAGACTGCTGATCCACACGTGTGGAATAGCAGGGTTGCCAGCTGTGTGACACCCTTCACGGCTGGCACGCATAGTAAAAAATCGGCCATTTCTTTTAATGGGATGCATACATTTATTTTATCCGAAATTAAATAACTACCATACTTAAAATAAAAAGATTTATGTTTTGGGTGGATATGGCGTAACTGGTGGCCGAGAAACGTGGCAATTCTGGCAACACAAGGTGATGCGCCCTATTGATATCCCCAGGTGTGGTTCCCACAGAGTCAAACGCCACATCATCATGAAGGTGTTGTTATACGTATTTCAGTTCGCTGTTTTGCTGTTCATTATATCGCATTCGTTAGTTGCATAGCAATGACTTTTAACATGAGTGAGTAAATGAAAAATATAGCCATAATAAATATAAAAACTACAATGAAAATGTAAAAAAAAAAAGACTGAGTCAGATGTCCCGGCAGTGTCACGTGGTGTGGAACGTGTCTATCGTTTCTTTCTTTTCTGAAAACTCTCCGCGTACCGGCAGACGATGGCTCACGGACCGGCACCGGTCCGCGGACCACACTTTGAGTAGCACTGCTCTAGATCACTATGTTTTTTTTTTTATGAAACAAATTCATATTTTGGGAAATTACTGGCATTTGTAAGGGGAATTAGGTGTTGCCACACTCATTTTGTCACCAAACTTTTGAGGCAAACATGTTGACACACCTTTATCTATTGCAGCTAACCAATTACATTAATATATATGGTGGAGGTTAAATATAGGAAGCTCCTAAAATTTCACATCAAGTTGACATTGAGATTAGTTTTGTGATACTCTTGCGTGATGAAAGAAAGTTTTAAGAAAGTACTGTATGTTTATTGTACATTGTAAAGGCAAAAAATGAATAGTGGCAAAGTTCTCAGAAAGAGAAGATAGTGTTACTTTGTATAGAATGTGGTAGATTGATAAAGCAGTTTTGCAGAGATTTGGCATAAGGAAGACAGTTGCCAGGTGGATGGAAAGGGCATAAGAGACTTGGGAGTAACAAAGAGATGAAGACCAGAACAAGCAAATGTGTTGAAAAAAGTCTGGGGCAGCTGACATTGGAATAATGGATATAAATGAAGAAACTAAAAGAAGGAAGGAGGGAGACAGTAGAAGGTATGAAGTGTTTCTTGTTGATTGGTAGCTTTATACAAATTAATGGGGGGGGATGAGGAGGGGATTTGTAGGTTCGTGTTACAATGGAAAAATTTATATGCATCTTAGTATGGAGGAGTGTGAAGGTAGATGGAGGAATTTAAGTATGGATGTAGGAGTTATGTATGTAAGTATTGTATGGCAAAGGGTATAAGTGATGGAGTTTGTGTACAGTATTAGTATACTGTAGGAGTTTATACTGTCTGTAGTAATGGAAGAGTTTGTGTATTAGTAAAGATGAGAGTAGAGAGGGAGAAAAATGTGTTTAAGTTTGTAGGGTAGAGATAGGTGGGAAGAGTAGTGTGAGAGGAAGGTTAGTATGGAGGAGTGTATGGACTTCTTATATGACCCATTTTTATAATATTTTATAAATTGCTAAGTGCCTGATTTTCTTATGCTATTGAAAGTACCTTCATTGTACATAGTTTTGCTACAAATTTCATATTAATATTTGTAATGCAACCAGGATAATATTAAGGCACTATTTAATTATTTGTTAAGAGATTTTACTGTTTTTATAAAAGCTTTAAGTAGATATATGATCATTAAATGATAGGTTCTTGTCAGATAAATTAATATGATGCATTGAGTAGCAAAATAAACTTGTAAGTGAGAGAGGACCGGGATTGATTCGGGGCGGGGAACTATAGGCAGGTTCCTTTGCACAAGTAATTATTAGGTAACTATGTAAATCAATTAGTGGGCCATTTCTGAGGGTAAATGCTATTTAGTGTATGTGCAGTACAGCCATCCCTCAAGTAATGGGAGGGTTATGTTCCTGAAGAGTTGACTGTACTGTAACTCAAAACCTATTTTCCCATTGACATCCATTATAGTATATAATTGGAGATGTGTTGCTATGGACAAAATTTTTCACCTGGAAAAAACATATTTAAATAACACCTAACACTCTTTTTAACTACAGCTACAGTACAATATATATTTAAATAAAAAAAATATATTTTATGTAGAAGCATGTAATAAAAAATGTGAAAAAGTGAAAGTAGGTTCCATAGGCATGACTGCTTGTTTGGGCCAGTGTGGGTACAGCACACTGTATACAGTAAGTCCTTGCTTAACGTCAGGATTATGTTCCTATAAATGCGACGTTATGCGAAACAATGTTAAGCGGATCAATTTTCCCCATAAGAAATAGATAAAATGCAGGAGTTATGTTCCTGAGCCTCCCTTTGTCCCATGAAATACATTACATATACAGAAAATCATTGCCATTTCTATAGAAAATAGTGCATACATATACAACTACTAAGTTTGTATTGGTACTCACCGATGGGCAGAGGTGGTAGAGCAGGTGTGTGGTGGGTAGTGAAGCAGAGGAGGCGGGAGGGGAGGAGTATGGTGGGAATGGAGGTGGAGGGTGGCGAGTCTTTGACACTGCTCCGAGCTGAGAGAGCGTAGCGCTGCCAGACGAGAGGGTGATGCACCGTACAAAGTAGTCCATGATGACGCAAAATGACGTTGTACTTAGTCATTGAGATGTTAAACGAATTTTTAGTATCTAAATATTAGCGATGTACTATAGTACCGAAACAACGATAAGCGGGCCGACGTTATACGAGGACTTACTGTACTAAGCCTTTGGTGCACAAGGAGGCAGCATGGCTGATACTGTACTGCACTTAACTACATTCACTTCCTCAAGCTATATACAGCAAGTGATATCTCTGTTAGCTGGAACAATTGGTACAAAGCACTTACAGGCATGAGATTTCTGTGTAACGAGACAACTTGCTCAAAGCTGGAAAAAAATCCCTCATCCCCGAAAAATTTCCAGGTTGCAGAATTTTCCAGAATGATGCAGGATTTCATCTCTCAAAGTCGGAAAAAATTCTCCATCCAGAAATTTTCCGGGTACTGGGAAAATTTTGTGGGATTTCCAAAAAATATGCCCCTCGGAAAATTTCAATTCCAGCTATTGGAGAGTTCCAGTTAAGAGGGCTTCTGGCTAGTGGAGATATTGCTCTAGGTACCCATTTACAGGTGGGTGAACCATTGACCCATGGAAGAGGAGACGAGAGCTGTATCCACTCGACTGCCGCTCTCCAGTGTAATAAATATAAAAATGGTAATGAGTATATGTGCTGTTCTCCTTCATACAATCATGTGTCAACTGACATGTCTCTGCATCATTGATGTTTCTCAGCTGGAAGCAATTGTGTATGTGAATTTGCTATAAATGAGAACTAACTGTATACTACAGTACTGGTAACATATTACAGTACAACCATTTTTAATGGAGATGGTGTTGAGAAATATGAGGTCAATTCTTGAAAACCAAACCTGTAACTAGGTTAGTTTTGAGAGGTTAATTTTTAAAGGTGCCTTTTAATGTCATTAAGCATTAGAAGTTAAGAATATATTTTTTATTTTGTAAAATGAATTGGTACCCTTAAACTGCAAATTTAATCATCACCCCATAGACTGCTTCAGGTCCCCTGGGAGACCACTCCACAGACTGTTCCAGGCCATGGGTGGCCCTAAGTTTCAGTATTGTTTGAATGGAACTATCATGTTTGAGTGAAAAGCCAGTCTTCAGACTCAACACTGGAGCAGTTGCCATGCAGCAGGAGGTCTCAGTTACCCACTGGAAGTCATGT